GGGGGGGGCGGCCCCTTCTTCGGGACGCAGAAGCGATCTAAGTCGCCAGGATCGCTTCTGTTGTAAAGCCGACAGTCGGCTCTACAAGTTTAAACAGAGTCCCGGCGGCAAAAGTCGCCGGGAGTCTGTTTAAACAGCCCCGATGCTGGCGACGTACACTGTACGTCGTCAGTCACGAAGGGGTTAAAGGGGATCTCAAGACTGGAGTTCAAGGGTTTGAATTAATATTAAAAATAATTACACATTTTTAAGTAGTTATGGAAAAGGGACATTGATACTATTAATATTTTCAATTTCATATATTTTAACTTTACAACATTGTCTCTGATTGCAAGCATATGAAGCATAGTTCACCAAACGTATGCACAGTCATAGAAGGTTAAAAAAAAAAAAAAACACACAGTACCTGGGAATATACTTATTCATGATTGCATAAAAGCAATTATACAAGTCGCTACGTGGTAAGTTGAGGTCCACCAATGGTTTGAGGAGGTGAATCCAGCTGACATCTTCCTGGTATTTGACATTTCGAGATTTACAGTAAAAAGTAACAACAGATTCAACGTCTTGAAGGACAGACGTTTTCCTTTCTTCCTCCACAGCAAGCTGGTCTGAACAGATACACAAGAGACTTCCGTTAATAGTAAGGCACTGATAAAAGGGAAGATATTATACAAATCACAAATACTGTATACAAGAGTTAGACACTTAGACTTTGATATATATATATGAACTATTTCACTTTCCAAAATTTGACTGATATCAGTTATACAACACTGTACTGAAATGATTTTTATATCATTTTTGGGGACACGGAGCTTTCTCTTAGTGGTATTTAATCACCACTAAAAAGGTTTTTAGTTTATTTTTTAACTATAATAAAAAATAAAAAAGTAGCAAATTTCCTTTAAAAAATAAAAAAAATGGTTTCCCCGTTTTATGAAAACTTTGTTATCACCCCAATTTTTTGGTAAAATATAAAAGATGAGGTCACGTCGGGTAAAGACACCAAAACATGTCAAGCCTTAGAAATTGTGCCTGCAAAAATCGCAAAACAAACTACCACACCCAAAATTGGCCATAGTTGGCGCTTTAGAAGCTTTTGACGTTTTTTTTCACTTAACTTTATGAAGACAACCCTCCATCTGCTAATTTTGTGGGCAGCTATTGAAGAATAGACTTACTGGCCAGATCACCAGATGAAAAAAAAAAAAAAAAAAAAAAGCCAATGATGACAGTCTTTTCATAAACAGGTTACCCTGTATAACATAATTAAACAAAACCCAACACCAATACACACAACCTGATGACCAGGTCGTCACAGCCGCCACATTTAAGAAATGGTAAGCTGTAAAATATTGCATGTTTGCTGTTGGGTCTAAATACACCTAGGACCCCCCAAATATATTTTGCGGGTGCGCGCAATTTTAAAGCTTGACATGTTTGGTGTCTATTTACCCGATCGTTTATATTTTACCAAAAAACTGGTTAATAATAAAATGTTTCCCAACATAATGTAAAAAAAACAAAACTTTTTTTTTTTTTTTCAAAATTTTCTGTAATTTTTCCTAATTATAATAAAAAATAACACCCCCCCAGTGGTAATTAAATACAACCAAAAGAAAGCTCTATCTGTCCCCAAAAAATGGTATAAAATTAATTTCAGTACAGCGCTGCATGACGGAATAAATGTCAAAGTACCACAGCACTGAACACTGAAAAATGGCCTGGCCAGGAAGGGGGTCTAACACCTGGTCTTGAAGTCGTTAAGGGATGAAGAACAATCTACAACACAGATAACATTTTTGCATGAATAGCGTCTCAGTTTTTATTTGAATCATTTGTCATCTCACCTATAAGGTTTTGGCAAGCTCTGTGAATCATTGGCTGTTCTGGAAGATCTAGGGTTTCATTCCAGGATGCTAAACTGTCCCCTTTTCCTGCCACATTTAGTGCAATCTGTCAGAACATAATACATATTAATGGCAAATCAAATACGGACAACATCTAGAGTACAACGATAATCAGCAATTCATGGAACAATTTACCATAAAAAGAGCAGGAAAAATAGCAAGGGTTAAAGAAACTGAGGGGAAATTTACAAAAACTGGAGCAGACAGAATCTGGAGCAGCTGTAGATGGCATTTTCAAAGCTTAACTGAAAAAGCTAAAGAGAGAAGCTGATTGGCTACTATGGGCAATCGATCCAGTTTTGATAAACTCTCCTCCTGAGAACACTGCAGATGTCTGAATGGTACAGTACATACGCTAATGTTTATCCCTGTTATGATCCCCTGTGAAAGACAGGTCAGTGAGGGCTGATCAGCAGAGAATCAGTGCAGAGCCAGACAATTTGGAGAGCAATGATTCGGCATTAATAGCTGCGTTTCAGACATACTTTAATCCTTGCACCAGCTATTTCGCCAACTCGACATTATTTGTGAATCCCTGGCACAGCAGCTTGGGCCACTCAAAGTCTGAGAGAGCAAGGCAGAAGCTGAAACAGGTCAGATTAAGGCTCCACACAGTGCTGCACGCACTCTGCTTTCCTGGCCACAGCAGAGCCGGATTAATATAGGGGCGGGTGGAGCACCTGCTCCAGCTCCTCCCCTGCAAATAGGCCCAGCCAGACCGAGCCAACATTGAGTCGCGGCCGAACTGGATCACAGCCACGGCCCTCTATCCAGGCATATCAGAGGGCCCTCTGATGTGCCTGAGTACCAAACTGAACTGGGAGTAGCCCAGAAGTACTATGGAGCAGTGGCGTAACAAGCGGGGGGAGACGGACAGTGACGAGCGAGCCGGGCCGACTGACCAGTGAGCACAACAAGGCTGCATGCTGAGTCTCCAGGCAAATTATGTGGCTGTGCGTATCCAGAGAGCTGTGCTGCTCAGGGGGTGTCTGTGTGCTGCATGTCGGGGGATGTCTGTGTGCTGCATAAAACACACAGACACCCACCGACATGCACAACGGGGGGTGGGGGGAATCTCTGTCTGGTGCAAGTCAGGGGGGATCTCTCCTGGGGGTATGATCTCATTGTGTCCTTAAACCTTAACCAATGGAGAAGAGATCCTCTGACCAGCAGTGCCTTGAGGGAACATGGAGCCGGCCTACCGGCCAATCAGGATGCCGGGCGGCGGGTAATGAAGCCTGCTTGATGCTGATTGGCTGGGAAGCAGGCTTTGCGGCCAATCAGCATGGAGCCAGCTTCCTGGGCATGTCGCCGCCCGGCATCCTAGTGGGCTGGGGAGCCGACTCCATGCTAGCGGAAGTACCTGCATCAGAACTCAATAACGAAAAAACGGCATTCGTGCATCCTTAAAATATATTTCACTTACACATACCGAGGGGTGAAATAATTATCTGCTAAAATGTATAGAATGGACAGTATTGTAGTATTCAGTCTGCTTACCTTCCACACTTTTGCCCTGAGATCTGAAGGAACAGGTCGTCCTTGAATAATGTTTCTTGCAGTCTCCAAGTCACAGCCACCAGCTTCCAGAGCCTCAGCTAGATCGGTCACCCTATGAACATGGAAAGGCAACACTTAAACAATGCATTTACCACTAGAAAAGATGCAAACTTGCTTCAGCTGCATACACAACAGATTTCAGATGTAAGGTAATACATTTACAATTTGTTGGACTTGTTCAGAGATGTCCGCCTGCTGAAATGCATTCAGTGCGCCTACATGAAAGAACGAAAATTGCGCAACACGTTACATATCGCAGCGAACATCAGAGTGAGAGCAATAATTCTAGAGCCATCAATCACTGGTAGCACTAAACTGATGAGTGGTTAAAGCATGGAAGAAGAGGCTGTGGGGACAGGTCTACTATCATCAACCGAGGATCAGGTGAGTATTTTTTTACTTAATTTTCACCTAATATGCAGTTAACCCTTGCAGTGATAGCCCCACTGCAAGAGTTCGTTTTTATAAACCTTGGAGTTCTTTTTTACTTGGTTACATTTTGATAATTATCTCCAGGTATTCTGTTAAAAAAGATGTTATTTACAACCAAACACTATATATGTTGAGTAAGAATGTAAGAAAATGGAGCTTCATCACTGGAGCCATTTTTTAAACGTTATTTTATTGTTTATCCGATTAATCGAACTTAATAATCGGCTAACTAATCGATTTTGAAAATAATCGTTAGCTGCAGCTCTATTGCTAAGACTTCTAATCTACCAGGGTCGCAGCTGCAACCGGGCCCTGGCGCTCCACCACTGACTCCCAAGCTGTAGAGAGACTACAAATCACAGCCCGGACAGGAGGAAGAGAGCCCTGGTGACCATTGTCATTTCCATAAAAAGACAGCACTCACATGACTTGAAGCTCATGAATGGACTCCGTAATTGTTGGACCTTCTTAAGCGGCCTCCACACGATCGACCAGCCGATCCGATTAAGAAGGTCCAACAATTACGGAGTCCGTTCATGAGCTTCAAGTCATGTGAAAGCAACACACTACTCAATTACTACACTTTCTCCCTACCCCCAGTGATTGTGCTAGGTTGTGGCGCTCTTTTTGTTTTGTAGTACTACACAGAAGTAGCGCCCTTTTGTTTCTTTTTATGAAACATATATTTTTAAATGACTCCACGTCATAGCAGCACAGTTATCCAAGATCTTCTTCATTAAGAAATTTGCTTGGAGCTTCTTAAAATGTCATATACTCAGACTGAAGCATTACATAGAGCAAGCCTTCTAGAGGCAGGCAGGGGAATAGGAGAGATCAATAATAGCTTCACATTTCCTCCTCTTTGTAGAGAGAGCGTGGTGTATTGGATTTATGGGATGTCATCTCTTAATACGTCTCAAAGTGCCCTGCCAGCAGAATGTTCTGAAGATGGCCTCGCATTATTCCGTCAGGTCACATGAGATCTGTGCACAAAGCTTAGACGTTCTTAAAATGATTATAGAGCATTTCTGTAAGTATATATCGCAGCTACGCGTCTGTCTTCTGATTTATAATCAGGTCTCTCTATTAATTCTAGGCCTATACCTCATAAATCATTTTTGTAAGCCGGCAGACTTTGCTATCCAGGTATTCTTTTATTGTGACAAAGCCTACATATGAACATGTGGAATCGGAGACGCTTCCAGATAAAACCGAACTACTATGTTTTTTTTATATGATTAACAAGCAAGTGACAAAGAAAAAATCGTAATGCTTAATAAAACACAATAATAAATCTGCTCATCAAATAAGTTATTTAAATGTTTGAAGAAAGCTGGTGTCTCCAGATAATTGGAGGATAATCTGACAATCAAATTCAACCGATTTGTAACCTCAAGCAAAAACACCCTCCAGATATGTCTGTGAAGGTTCTCATTCATCCAAGTCATGAGATATCTGAAAAAAATTAAATAAAGTTAAAGCAACTGGACATACTGTATTTTTTTTTTATAAGACGTTTTCAACCAGCTTTAATTAATTCAGAATTGAGAAAGCTAGGTCGGATGATCACGGACCAACATCTTCAAGAAAAAAAAGAAAAAAGAAAAAATACAGCAAATCCAGTTGCTTTGAATTATGTTTTTTTTACAGATTGATGCCCCAGATATGTTTTTAAGGCACCAAGATGGCCTTACCAAGATGATCACCACTTATGATATCATACTTGCACCTGATGCATCTACAAGCCTATAAACAACATTTGTAATTATCATGACTATAGAGCGAACATCTGAGGCCAGCCGAAATATAGAAATACAGAGTATGTATAGATTCTTAATCAGTAAATAAGCAGATCTCAGTAGCCAACGGCACTGCGGAGCAACTCCTCCTCAAAGTTCATAATAAAAGCTGTTACGTCATTCAAGTCAGGTCTCAGCGCTCTGCTCTCCCCTCTTCCTGTCCACCGGCTTTGCACAAGAGGTTAGAAGACTGGCAGGCTGCCTAGCCATTGCTTTGAGAGGGGGAACCAAACCAGCTAATGAAAGAAAATGTAAATTTTGTTTGCTGTGAAGATTCAGGATGAGTTACTCCACAGTGGCTGCAGATAGAGTTCATTAGGGGCTTGTGCCAAAGTTTGTTTGTAAATATTTCATGTCTATAGCCTTGCCACAATTATACTTCATGGCTCTGTTCACATTAATGCATGTTTGGTGAAGGTAAAATGCACACAAAGTGCATGACAAGAGCTGAATTTGTTTGCAGTTTCACATTTGCACAAAATGAACAAATGTGTACATAACGTGTGCCCAGTTCACATGTTTGCTGTAGAACATTACAGCCCCTGGAAAGTCATTAGGTTCTTAAGTTATAAAATAAGGGGTGATGGCTTTAGTACAAATGAGGCCTAAAACTGGTCACAGATATTACACGGCAGTATTGTGCCTAGGACTGTTCTCTTACTAGACTGACCAACACGCATACATGCTCCTGTTCCGAGATCTGACTTCCATTGTTTTCTTTTGACATTTGAATGCAATGAAATGGAAAAAGGTTCAGTTTGGCAGATCCTACTGCAACTCGCTGATCATACCCTATTAATTGCTGTTTGGGTATCTACAGGCTTGTAGTCATTTGGACTGTTGTGCAAACCTGTTGAACCTGCAGGTATCAGGCAACAGGGTATGACCCCTACAAGTATCTTTTACTTTACAAAAACTGATGACACTCGACCAGGCCATCAGCCTCCCTGACAGCCGTACTATGGGAACATCCCACAAACAGCTGTCGGAATCTGAGAAAACCAACTATGGGATTGTAGGTATTTATCTGCACAGGGCCAATCCCAGAGAGGTTATTTCTTGGAGAATATAACCACCAGACAGAAAGACAAACTAAAGAAAGATGTTTTCCCAATAGTGTTGACCTTTCTAAGATATTCTAAAAGCTTTCGTTTCAAAGGGTAACACACGTAACTCTCTATTTGTAGAGAGTTACTCAGCAGCCCTCTCTGTAGATGAGTATGTGCAACGGTCAAGCCCTAGCATGTGTATAGAGCTCCACCTTCATGGTTCCAACCAGAATGTCAAGGTAAAACGTCCATTATTCCAAGTATGTTATAGAGAGCGTGACATGACATATGTCTTTTTGAAGGAAGAATACATGACTGAGTTAGCAGTATAAGCCTAGGTTTAGATATCGGCGATCGTGCATGATTGCACACAGCGATTGCTGCGCCGCCCTATTGATTTTAAGGGAGGAGACGTACTTCTTTTTGCGACACGCACCACATGGTTTTGAACTGCAATCGTGCGTGATTGCATGGGTGGTATCACAGCGGGAAACTACCTGATCGGCGAGGCAGGACTGGGGTGCCGTTAGAAATTATAGGCACCGCCAGTGCGATCGGAGGCAGTGGGCCATCCGAGTGGTCACGTGCACGATTGCCGTGCAGTCACAGATCACCATAGTGTGAACCTAGCCTAAGAAATATACAAGTATTAACGGGTCAGAGCCCACTTTGTGAGACAGGTTTTATCAGAATGTTAACCTCACTGCAACCTATAAAATGTAAGTCAGCCTACATTACCCAAGGAATAAAAACCTCCAATATGATGAGACACTTTATACTTCTGTGCAGCCACCAGATATCTGGGCAGATACACCAGACCTAAAGCTCAATGAAAAATAACTTAGAAATAACAGCTTCATATGTGGCAGAGGTCCACCCAACCGAGGCCTCAGCCGATCACCTCTTGTGTAAAGACCATTTTGAACATATCTGTGATTTCACTTGTATTATAAATAAAACGTTAAACATTAGTTCAGGTCTGTGCAGTCAGTGCATCTTTCAGGGCCCAGCCACACTGCGCTGGGCAGCTTTGCCCTTAGCCTTACAATTTATGTTAACATTTTTTGGGGACAGACAGAGCTTTCTTTTGGAGGTATATAATTACCACTGGGGGGGGTGTGTTATTTTTATTTTTTTAAATTTACTATATAATGAAAAAAGTACCATAAAATGTAAAAAAAACTAAAGTTTCCCTACGTTATGTTATAAAACATTTATTCTTACCCATATTTTTAGTAAAACAAAATTCGGGTCACGTCGGGTAAATAGACACCAAACAGGTCAAGCCTTAAAATTGCGTGCGCCCGCAAAAACGCCCATAGACGATGATTAAAACGCTTTTACTGCTCATCAGTTTCGTGTTATCAATGATTAATGGCTCTAAAATTATTGCTCTCACTCCGACGTTTGTGGCTCTATTTAACATGTGCGGCACAATAGGCGCAATAGTCGTTTTCGCACCCGATGCATATCTGCGTGTGTATGTGGGGGGTGGGGACTTAAATGTTTTTTTCTTTTTATGCTTCTTTATTTATTTTTTTACGATTCTTTAATTTTAGTATTACTTTTTTTTTTTTTTACACACAGCTTTATTGCCATTACATGGGGGGGCTAAGAATCCCCCTATGTAATAGCCAATTTACATGACAGGTCCTCTTTATGGAGACATCAGGGGTCTCCGTCACGAGCATTTTTTTTTTTTTTTTTCCCTCATACATACATACATACATACATACATACATACATACATACATACATACATACGTATACAT